TATATATATATATATATATATATACATAAAATATATATACACATAAAACACAAAGAAGGAGATGGTTTGTGCAACAAAGATAAAAGTGACCAGAGGTGCAGGAAAAGGTTGTGCACATGGTGCATTCAGTGTCTCCTCTCAGCCAAAAACTCCTTTTTTACACACACACACAATAATAGCAGCAAAAGAAGAAGACACATGCTGGTTTGCTTTCTTACCAGTTCTGGCAGATACAGGATGTCGGGGATGGTGGTACAAACTCCCACCCCACTGGGGAGGTGTGCCATCCTGTCAACGTTGGAAGCCATCTCTGTTCCTGCTGCTGAAGCTGAAGAGACACTGAAGTGGATTCAGACCTGCCGAGTTTTAAACCGTGAGCTGACTGGAAAAACTGGAATCCCCATGAGTCGAGAGGAGACACGCCTAGAGTCCCACACACCCCAGGACACCTCAGACAGAGAGATGGACAACTGGAGGTCCAGAATGATGGAGATGCAGTGTGAGACACGCTTATCAATGTTTGACCAGTTCATCACCATGGCAACCTGAGGCAGGTCAACTTCCAGCAGCAACAGCGAACTGCAGGACAACAGCAACAGTAGACACAACCACACTGTTATTTTTATTTTACACTTTTGTACATGTTGAAGACCAGTTTAAAACAATATGTTCTAGTTCTTTTGGAAATTAAATTGACTTTTTATTTAATTTTTACGACCTAATTTAATCAGAGTGTTCTTGATTTTTTGCTACTTAGACTACAAGCATGTCTTAAAGACATAAAAACCTGGATGACCCTTAATTTTCTCCTGTTGAACAGACAAGACTGAGGTTTTGGTTTTTGGACCTGAGCACCTTAGAAATTAATTTTTCAGTCTTTCTCCCTCCTTAGATGCATTAATCTGTCCTCCAGCTCTAATGTTAAACATCTTGGTGTTATTTTTGATCAGGACATGTCTTTTATCCCCCACATTAAAAACGTTACTAGAACCTCCTTCTTCCACCTGCGTAATATCACTAACATTAGAAACATCTGATCTAAAGATGATGCAGAAAAACTGGTCCATGCATTTGTCACGTCTAGACTGGACTATTGCAATGATTTATTATCTGGGTGTCCAAATACTTCTTTAAAACGTCTTCAGTTGATCCAAAATGCTGCTGCCAGAGTATTAACTGGAGTTACTGGGAGAGATCATATCTCTCCAGTTTTAGCTTCTCTCCATTGGCTCCCTGTCAAATCCAGAATAGAATTCAAAATCTTACTTCTAACCTACAAAGCTCTCAACAACCTAGCTCCATCTTATATTACAGATCTCAAACCCATCCAGTCGAAGCAGATGGCCACTCGTCCTGATCCTGGTTCTGCTAAAGGTTTCTTCCTCATGAGGGAGTTTTTTCTTTCCACTGTCGCCTTCATGCTCGCTCAAGATGAGAGTTCTGTGATGGAGTTAAACTCAAAGCAGTCTGCTCCTCAGATAAATAATGTTAAATTATTGTTTTTATGTATGAATGTTTCTGTTCAGGGTTTCTGTTGTGACTTGGCGCTAAATAAATAAATAAACTGAATTTGATTGATTTTTTGCCTCTCATTCTGTTACATGATTTTATTTTGCACAGCACACAGTTCTTAAAATAAATATTTAGTTGAACTCATTAAAACTTTTTTCATTAACTGTCTCCAAGTTTGTCTGAATCAAAAGGAAACGTTTGTTGAACAAGTTCTGGTGAGTGTCAAATATCAATCGTGTGGTTTGTGTGACCTACAGCTTAACAGGAGATTTTAAAAAGGAAAATACAATAAAAATGCTGGCATTATGTGTGATATGTGTATAAAGCAAAATCAGTTATAAAGGAAAATAGAAGTGCTTGGAATGATTGTTGATCAGGGGCAGGTGAGGGTGGTGACTAACTGGAAAAATACTGAGGAAGCTGAGGGTGCATGAGATAAAACACTGGAAAACCAGGATGAATCTACATATGATCAACAGAAACACGAGTGGATAATAATCTAAACTAACAACATACAAATATCAGAAGCTCACAAACAAATAAACTCAAAGAATCACTGAGTAATCTAAACAAAATCACACAGATGTGACACTTTTGGTACCCGTGCTGTGATCAAAGCAGCAAAGATGGGGTAGAAGTACAAACTGGCGTGAAGTGTATCAAACTAAAATAATAGTTAAAATTTAAACTGTCTACATCGACGCAGCTGCCAAGGTGAATAGAAAGAGGCGTTTTAATTTGTAGCCACAAAAACATGTTTGTTTCTATGAACAAGTGTAAAAGTTCAAAGTGGAGAAAGTCAAACTTTAAATTTAAAGAATGATGTGACTCAATTTAGTTTAAGCTGCTACTTTCTGGAGCACGTCTAATAAATATTGTATATTTACAAATATGTCTGCTGCTTTACATTTGTTGATTAGTAATTTGGGATTTTTAGGTTGGAGTTGGTTGGATTAGTGAATCTTTCCACATCATGAACTGCCGGTCAGGACATCTGAATTTTCTAGTTTGTTCTCTGAGAACTGATTTAAGCTGAAGGCCTTCCTGAAAGTCTCTTTTTAAAACAATACAAACCAGTTTTTCATGCTTTACATTTTAATGCTCCCATCAGAGCAGCTTCTTTCACACCTCGCACCGTAAACAGCGAACCCATGGAAACATCAGGTGTCTCGTCTGGCAGGACGGGGTTGTCGGGCGGGTGAGCTGTGAAACGAACACCTTGGATAATCGATGTGACGGATCAGGTTTCCTGCTGTCTTATCCCCCCATCCCCCTGCCTGGGAAACCTCCTCTTGATGAACAAAACACTGTGAGGAGAAAGAAAACTCCCCAAACCGAAACCTTTAACAAACGCTGACTTCACGCAGCAAAGTTCTTCAAGCAAACTTCTTTAGCTCCAATTGACAAAACGTTAAACCAAATCTGGAGTGATTTCAATAACGCCTTTTGGCAACAGACTCAACAAAACGTGCATGCTCAGTTTAAAACCTCACACATCCAGGACATGGTCAATTCAAAAAAGTTCAAGACAAAAACAACTGGACTTTATTTGTAACAGACGATGTTTCGCTTCTCATCCGAGGAGCTTTCTCAATTCAAAGAGCAGAGTGTGGGGTTCAGGTTATAAAGCTGATGTAAGATACATACATACATATGCAGATTGACCGATCACACCTCGCAATAGGAGTTTTTAAGGTCTTAAGGCCCCTCTGTTCCCATCTGATAAATGTGAAACTGACTGGGTATCGGTCCTAAAATGGCCCCTAAAAGTTTTTGAAAGTTGAAATCTGAGGCCTCCTCCTCTGCTTAGAGAAGGTTTCTCTCTTTTTACATAAATTGCTTCCTTCACCCCCCTCTCAAACCATCTCTGTTCTCGGTCCAAAATGTGCACATTTTGGTCCTCAAATGAGTGTCTCTTATCCGTGAGGTGGAGGTGAACAGCTGAGTCTTGTCCTGAGGAGGTGGCTCTCCTGTGTTGAGCCATGCGGCTGTGAAGTGTTTAGTTTCTCCAATGTAGAGGTCTGGACAGTCCTCGCTGCACTGGACCGCATACACTACACCACTCTGTTTGTGTATGGGTGTTCTGTCCTTAGGGTGGACTAGCCTCTGTCTGAGAGTCCTGCTGGGTTTGAAATGTACTGGGATGTTGTGTTTGTTGAAAATCCTTCTGAATTTTTCTGATACTCCAGCAACATATTGGATGACAATGTTTTTACGCCTGTTTATATGCAGGTTAACACAAGGGCAACAATGCAATGAAATGTTCAGGATAAGAAGAACCAGTTTGACTCGCTATAAACACAAGAAATACTGAAGCATACAATCAAAGTACAAAATAAAGTACCAAAAAAGTTAAAAAGAGAAATATAATACTTACAAAGTTCAATGGAATCAAATGGTAGAATATAACGGTGCAAGTAGAATTAATTAGTATAACTAAGTATTTCACAGGTAGTAATATAAGTTTAAATGTACATGATAAATATTGCACATAACTAACATAAACTACATAGGTTGTGTGACAGATTATTGCACAGGTAGTGAGTAACATTTAGATTAATTGAATTATGATGTCATAAGGTAGTGACATACATGATACAGCCACATATAGTGTAGCAGCAATAAACATATTAGCTGTCACAGCTTATATTATTCATATTAGTGTCACAGATGTGGCTTGGTGCAAAGTGATTGTCAAGAGTTCATTCATCTGACAGCTGGTTGAGTTACCGTATTCTTAAGAGATTCATAGGAATTTTGAGCATGTTGGAAAGGTGTGCCAAACAAATAAAGTTTGTGCGAGAGTCTGGAACCTGTCTCAAACGTCACTTAATTTATTGCCAGAAAGTGGGAGAGATGTGAGACAATGCTGTCAACCTATGAAACCAAAATGTGTGAAATGTGACTAACTAGCAACATAGACAAAATTGTGATCAAATAGAGATGAGATTGAAACATAATTAAAACGTTTTCTTAATGAATTTTGACAAATAAATTGGAACATAATTTGCAGTAACGTTGTGAAAATGTTCCATTTTATTCTCATTCTTGTATGCACGCAAACTAGAGTTAATTAATCTGATAAAGGTTTGCTAACTTGGTAGCTCTAAACTGTAAATCTGGATAAAATGTTTGCTAATATTTAATGGAATTTACCTGAAAGCAACTCTGGACAAATAGTCTGACTGTGATTGTCATCTCTTAGGTTTACGGTGAAACTAAAATGTACATTTGAACAATGCAAACAAACAAACAAAATGAGACCAGTGAAAGGCCAAGACCAAGCTTTAGCATCACAATACTACAAAACTACTCCCCAACTTGCTCCAGAGAATGATGCAACATGAGATGCAGGTACAGTAAATACTGTGTTTCCCCCTTCTCATGGTTTTAGATAGCGCGGCATGTCCTTTCTGTCAATCAACAGGAAGCTTCGTATTTTTGATAAGACAGACAGACACTGGTCAAAGGTTACTGATGTTTTTATTAATATGGCTGAGAATGTTAACTCTGCCCATGAACCATATGTTTGGGTTAGCAGAGAGAGCTGGATGAGGAGCTGAATGCAGCTACAGCGTGCGGCTGGCTCCAAGAACGCCTCCAAGTTCTATGAGATCAGTTGAACTGATAAAAGTATAAAAACGGGCTGGGGAGGCAACTAACACATATTCTTGTGGCTGGTCTTAATGTGTGTACTTTCTGTATATTCTGCATATTTATATAACCTGTCCTGAAAATCTGACCTTGAAAGTGAATACCGGTTAGAGATCTCCTGCTGTTAAGTGCTTTCACAAACAATTAACTCAGCTCTGGCATTCATATT